AGGGTTCGGTGGGATTTCAGAGGCTTTAGGGTTTGGGGATATTGGGGAGAGGAGGGGCCTAGTTTGTTTTGGGGACCCTTAGGCTTTAGGGATTTGGGATTTTGTAGGGTGATTCGTGGCCTTGTGTGATTTACAGAGATTGTGGGGTTCTTGGGTCTCAGGGGTTTTAGGGCCCTCAGGCCCTTGAGGGTTTTCGGGTTTTGATGGATTTGGCGGTTGGTGTCTACGGTGTTTCAGGGTTTTGGAGTTGGGGGATTTTGGGGCCTTCGGGTGTGGGATCACAGTTTAACGGTGGAGGCCTTTAAAGAGTCGAAGGCTTTAGGGTTTAGAATGGGTTTTCAGCTGTGCTTACGACTTGACGGCCTCCCTCTTGCATTCAGCTATTGCAAGATGCACGGGATTTGTGGTGCTTTTACTGTGGTAAGGGCTTGGTGCTGCTTGTACAGGCCCAGTGTGGGTGTGGGTTAGGCTCTCAAAACCACCTGATCCAGAACAAAGCTTCTGCCATGCACTGCGCGGGGTAGCTTCTTGGATTTGGGTCTTGTTGCTTCCCATCATGTCGCGGTGCAGGTCAAAGCGCGCTTCGGTGCCTGTTGATGTAAAGCTGCACGCTTCTGTCGCCTCTTTGTTTTTGAGAGGGGTGTTAGGGTTCTTGGATTCTTGGAGCTTCGTGAAAGCAGCCGACAGGACGAAGCTCCAGCATCGTAGAGCCCTGATCCTCATACTGGCTCTCAAACCCCAGTCCTCTAGATTCTCCACGGCCGAGGGATTATGGTTGCTGTTTTGGGCGTCTCAGTTTAGGTGCAGTTTTGGGGGAAGTTCCTGTCGCCTGCAAAAAACGGACTCAACAAGCGATACAATTTCCACGAAAGCAGTGCGTTCTCGAAGGTGCGGGCACCTAAACCAACGCTACACTTGAAAGGCTTGTGCAATTGCACAAAGGCTGCATGAGATCGCAAACGATGCCAGTGGCGGGCGCACGCCATCTAAAAGAGGCGCTTGTCCGGCACTGCGTTTTAGCATGTATCCTTCCTTCAGTGTCGTATAGTACATGACTGTATACGTACATGATAGTTATCGTAGTGTTAGAGCCCACTTTGCGCAAAGCTTTGAGGTCCACACTTTGGCCCTCACTGACGAGGGCCGCGTGTACTCCTTTGGAGGCGGCTCCTACGGACAGCTCGGCGTCAAGGACTGCGACTGTCGGATTTTGAGGCTTTTTGGGCTGTTTGGGCTTAGGATCTACGGCGCCCGGGAGGCTCTGAGCTTTCGCTGATCCCCCGAGCCCTAAGCTCAGAGTGGGTTGAAGGTTTCCGGCTTGGAGGGGTTAGGGTAGTCTTCACCGCTGCATGCTAGAGAGTACGAAGTTTGCCAAATCCTTCCCTGGCCTTTCAATTGGGATGTCACGTTTAGTGTGCCAGTTTGACCATGTTGGGGCTCGTCTGGGCGCTTCGCTGGCTGTTCCACGCAATCACAGCCGCAATCGGCGGACCCCTGTGCACGAACCGATATTTACCCCTATCCTCTCACTCCTTCAATTCAACCCCGAACCCTGAAAGCTTGAGAGTGTCTGAAGCCCGATGGGAAACCCCTGAAGCCTCAGACCCGACATCTCCGCTCTCTGCCGGATTCGCAGGATGTGTTGGCGATGCCAGTCGACGCAGACAACTGTAACTGCCTCATGTTCTGAACATCGCCTGATGTAGCATCCCCAAGCCATAGACAAAATAGACAGAACAAGTAGGTAGTGATGCCCTCCATAAAGGCTGCAAATTACAGATCCTGACTGTTGTCCACACCTTGTGGACATCTGTTTGAATTCGGTTTCTCTGCTGCTTCGGCACTGGATGTAGCCTGTGCCTCGCACGCTTCGGATCCTGGCGCAGATAGTGTAGTCGAGGGCTTGTCCACCAGGAGGCTCAGAGGAATATTCGTCACGTTCTGTTAACTTTCCGTCTTCATGAGAAGAACATCGGGTGATGAGCTAGGCTAGTTTCACCCACAGGTCACAGCTACTGGGTCCGTTTCGAACCGTCAGCCACGTAATTTCGTCTCTTGCTCACAGAATGCCAGGCCTCTGACACTAGCAACCTCATACTCCTAGCCTCGAGAAAAAACACAGAGCCAGCCAGATGCACAAAGAGCACCTCCCGGTGTACTTAGGGTGTTTGGTGCTTGGTCGTAGCTTGTGTTTCAGTAGCTCTGCCATCTTGCCAGTGATAGTTGGGATTGCTATTGCCCACCTCTGGCTCGTCTTGGCCCCAAGCGCTACCATGCACCTTCAATTCAAGCCAGACTGAACCTCCCTGGCCCGCAACCAGAAGCAGCCTCCACTAAGGTCCCAAACCGTGGAGCCTGAACGTGACGCAAAGCCGTATCAAAACCAAGTCAGTCCCGGATGAAGAAATACTGTTGCAGCACCCGGCAGGTCCTATACAGTACCCAGAACGCTTTAATCGCAAATCTCGAAAACTCGGAAGCACTCAGCCAACAAGCCGGTAACACCTTCCCCAAGCCTTGTAGGCTCTTAGTGCGTCGACTCTCGACACCCCATAGCTGCGTCTCGAAGCGTCTGAAGCCTTGTCAGCCTGTAGGTATGCCCTGGACAACAATTTGCAGTCTTTCCAGACTCAGGCTGCTAATAAAGCCCTCAAAGGTCCCTACATGCCGACGCCCCAACGGATCGTTGGCCTCGAGGGCATCGTTCGTCTGGCGTGCGGAGACTCGCCGGGATGCCCGGTGCGGTATCAGGTAGGGTGGTGTGCTTTTAGAAGAACTGTCCGAGTTCGCGTGTTGCTCTTGGGTTCTGTAGGGCTTTCGGAAGTTTTCTCCACGGGTGGGTAGGATGATGCTCTCGTGCTTCTTCAGGTCAAGAAGTCGTGAGTTTTGGGCTTGTAAAATAACATCCACCCCTTCTGGGCTCCTTTTGTCAAGCTACCAGCCAAAAAACTCCGATGCTCGTCTCCTGTTTGCACAGCCGCCCACAACGGCAGGTCCGGAATCTGAAACCACAAGCCGATCTGCGAGGCACTCCCTGACCGTGGACAGCGACGGGCGGCTCTACTGCCCCCCGGCATTGGGAATCAGTTTTCGGATCTATTGTTGGTCACAAGCCCAAGCACTGCTAAGGCGACAGGCCATCTGGAAAGCTGTCACAGAAAGAACGGCAACAGCAATGCCGTGACAAGGTGAAGCATGCATGAATCATCCCAGCAATGTTGTAGAAGAGCTCACCATCATCACCAGCACAATCAACGAGCATTCAGGGCATCGGTGGCCTTCTCAGGCTCTGAGACCGTCCAGCAGAGCCTTGTGGGGCCTTGCTTATGGCTATATGTACAATGTATTTGATAGATAGATAGATGGATAGATAGATAGATGGATAGATAGATAGATAGATTGATAGATTCAGATAGATAGATTCAGATAGATAGATTCAGATAGATAGATAGATAGATAGATAGGTAGATTGGTGGATCGATAGATAGATAGACAGATAGATGCATCGATAGATAGATAGATATGTGTTTGTCATGTCGTAGTTACGGGTCAAGTCCGCTTGGTTCAGTGTTGAACGGGGCCGTACCCTTGTTTCTGACAGACATTGACAGACAAAGACCCCTCAGCTCATAAAGCCCCTACCTTCACTTGTTAAATTCTCAATGCCACAGCCGATCCTCTTTCCGGACTGACAGCAAGAGCCAGATCCGGGCCGGCATTGAAAGACAAAGACCCCTCAGCTCATAAAGCCCCTACCTTCACTTGTTAAATTCTCAATGCCACAGCCGATCCTCTTCCGGACTGACAGCAAGAGCCAGATCCGGGTCGTCTCCCGTCATCTGAGGCTGGGGTGCCAACTCCTGCGGTCAGCGGGAGCTCCCGGTGTTGCTTCGTTGGGACGACGGGGTGAATGCTTCGGGATAGTGAAAAAGAGGTTTGCTATACCATTCGTGTGAAGCCGGCCCCAATTGCCCCAAAGACCAAACTCCTGCATCCCAGCACCAAGCCTTCCCAGTGGTGCTAGCTTCGAAGGTTTTGCTGGATGGTTCTAATTACTAATCTTGCTTGTACCCTTTGCTTGGGGCTTTAGGTGTGCTCATGGGTCTTATGAGTACTCAATATGTTATATTCGAGAAGTAGATCTGGAACCTTAGGAGGTTCGGGGGTGCGGCTTTAGATTTGAGGATCTTGCACTTCGTGGTGCTTCCGAGCCACAGTCCACATTCCAGCATCACAGTTTCAAGTGCTTCTTGTCCAAAGGGGCTCTTGCCCTTGCCTGTTGTGCCTTTGTTTCTGGTCTCCAAGAAACTTCTTGAATCCCACTTGCCGAGGCTGGGGATCATGAACCCAGACGACCCCAGGATACGGAAAGATCCTGATGGTATTCCGCGCTTGCCTCAGTGAGGGTGGATCCCGACCGCAAACTCCTTCAAGTGCAAGCCCGATAGGGTCCAGAAGCTGCAATTGGGTTTTTTGCGCTCAAGCTACGCAAGTATTGGAAGACTTAGGTACTGAAATAATCCGAGCCTCTGGAACCCTAAGTTAAAAAGTTATAGCAGCCCCAAGTAGCAAACTCTGCATCCAGAAAAGCCCTAAGCGGCCCCGGGCAAAGAGCCAGACCGAACCTTTCAACATCGAGCTCCGGAAAGAAGCTCAGCAGCCAAAACTGCCCTAAGTCCCAAGCCTCTTCCAGGCACCTTCCGACGCCGGCCGCGATCGAGGCATTGGCTGATCAAAGGCGCCTGGCTACACGCTTTTCGTTCTGTTGTAGGCGTCACCACCGCAATTGCCGCCCTCATTCCACAGTTCTTCGGGATAGTGGTTGTACGAGTAGCCATACTAGGACTGGTGACACTGTGCTGAGGGCGTGGAGCAAGCTTAACAACGTTACAAAGCACAAAGTTTCGAGGAATCACAAACAAAGATGCCACTGTTTGAAACCAAGCTCAGTCAATTACTGGAGTACAGATATTTGTGCAGTCTTTGCGGCAAACCTCGACTTTCCTGGAGCTGGAGAGCCTGTCTCGCGGGAAGACTGCTGAAGGCTAAGAGTGTTGATGAGATGACTACGAGTGTCAAGGAAATACTGTGGCTCGGCTATTATTCTGTTTTGTTCTTGCGCTCACAGTAGAGCTACTCCTGTACTCCCCTTAATCTGCCATTCAAAAGTCCCAAACCCCAATTTCGTATGATTTGACAGCCTCTGAAGGCTGCACTAAATCCGGCACCAGCAGCCCGAAGCTATGATACAGCAGCTGGTGGCGGAAGTCGGCCATGCAGCTCCAAAACAGCGGAACCCCAAAACCCGGAGCAGGATTATCGACATCGCCTGCGGGGAGGCTTGTGTGGCTGCTGGGAGCTTCGAGAGGGGCCTCAGGGTGGAGGATGAAGGTTGGGGTCCGTGCGGCCTTTATGGACGTGAGTGGCTGGGCAATCTGTGCCGTTCTTCTCCGGACCCAGAAAACATGAAGATCGGATTGTGAATGCGCTGCTTGCTGCTTCGATCTCCAGGTTTTTTGGGATGGCATGGAGGTTCACGCGATTGTTAGCTACGTCGAGGCTTAGGAGGGTGTTCACCTTCGCGGCCCTAAATCAACCAAACTGCAGCTTTGCTCGGGGGTTGTCCTCAGCCCTGGCCTGGGGAAGCAGATCTGGTGCCCAGAGAAGCTGATCGCCAGGCGCACTCCCTAGCAGTGTCGGCCACTGGTAACCTCTATAGCCGCGGCCCCCAGTGTGCTATAAAGAGGCTTAGCATCGAGGCAATCGGGGTTTAGTCTCCCTTTCGCTGCCGGGGCTGCAAGGGGTTCCTGTCAGGGTGTCTATGCCGGGTTCTGAGCTTCGGCCTTTTACACCTCCTGAAGTTCGGGATTTGTGTTCAAAGGTCTTCAGTTAACAAGCTTGGAGCATCGCAGGTTCTGAGCGCAGATGTCCAGCCCGAATCTCTCAGGCTGGGGAGCCTGCTCTTGTGGACAGCTGGGGCTCGGCAGTTGGGACACCCAGAGGGCGCTCCGGGCCGGTGGGAGATTCATTGCCACGATGTTCCATTTAGCCACTTACCCAGTTCTTTCCTTGACCTGCATGTTCCTCATTGCCTCACGAACGAATTGACACCGGAAAATGTCCAGCTTTTTTTGCGATGTCTTGCAGGTTCAGGGTTGGATGTCACGCTAGGCCCAGGCTCTAGACACTCTTCTGCGATCCAAGGGCCGCCCAAGTCTCGCAGGCTAGGACGATGGCGCTTGGGGAAGAGATAGCGCATAATTCAAATCTCCTCCCCCGACATTCGGAAACCCGAATAGGCTCCAACTCATGCGCAGTATTGCTTCATCAGCTTCTGCAACCCATGAATTGTGCAGGACCCGACAGTATGCTCATAGCACACGGAGGGCTCATAGTATGACGGTTTGCGCACAATACAGCTCTGAAGCTCTGAAAGATCCACCGAGACCCAAACTCCGAGTGCCAGGGGCCCGTTGCCGCAGCTTTTGTGGGCCCCACCGCTCCTGCACTCGTGCCACCATGAATGGTGCCGACGGGCCTCCGAAGAACTCTGCGAGACTTGACTCCACCATCCTGAAGGCTTGCAGTTTCTTTGAGCCTGAGCCTGGGTTCTTTCTTTACCTGGGATTTCTTGCCTTCCCATGAGGGACGGCCGTTCTGGCTTGTTGCC